TAAACAGCTGTAGGTGAATGGAAACATGGTGGAGAGAGAGGACTGGGGAGTCAGGAGCCCCGCCTCCCCTTTACCTGGCAGCGTGACCCAGGCAGGTCACTTCACCTTTCTAGTTTTAGTTGGTTCATCTATAAAGATAGAAATTCTACTACCACATAAGATGTCTAGATCTTGCCCAGCTTATAAAAAAAAAGTCTTTGGTTTCAGACATCATTCCTAAGGAAATACCAAATCACACATAAATCTTTCATTCTAGGCTTTACTTCCTTTAAACAACATCAGCTCCATAAATAGCCATGCTTTCTGAAGAACAAAAATGTCTCTCTCCCCTTTTTTATTTTTAAGTAAAGGAACAGTTTATCAAGAAAGTTTCCCTTTAGCCCTCCTTAACTTTCAGAATTTAAAATGGGATGATGCAAGAAAGGACTTTGGTTTTGTTGTTGTTGTTTAATCACACTTGTTTACAGGTAAAATTTTTAAAACTCTATGAAATAATAAAATTCCTTTTATCACTAACCTGCCAAGATATACATTATCCTTCTATATAAGCACATTTGGAAAAGCATTCTTGGTTGAATTTTGACCAGAAATCACAGCAAATGTTTTAAATATGTTTCTGTGTGTTACATATACATACTTAGATTTTTTTTAAGTACTATCAGAAGATACATCTTCCTATTATGTTTGCATTGTGGTTCTACCCCACATCTCATTTCTCTTCCCTATAAATCATACTCTCTATTTCATTTCACATTACTCTTGTCACTTGGTATCTTGGAGTAAAATTTGCAAAGTCTGAGCGAACAGGCCAGAATAGAGATTCAGATATCTGTGGTAAGTACATCTAAATAATTATATTTATTTTATTTTCATCTTTTAGGCTACTTCAGATATTTAATGGTATGAATTCAAAAGAAATCCACATTAACCCTAGCTAGGTGTCCTCGATTTTTTTTATCTGCACATTTAATTCTCAGGCCAAGTGACTATTCTTGAATATTATATAGATGAAATTACACTCAAAAAGGGCAGAAGGTATCAAAAGTCAACATATGCAACTCATTTGCAAAAAAAAAGTCATTTCATTTTTAGAAATGTCTCAGTTTTAACAACTTTCAGTGCACCCTTCTAGGATGAGCCACCATATGTCTAAATTACTTTAAAAATCTCATATGGTAAGCACAGACAATAAAAGATCAAACTCCAAAAGCATTTAGTTCAGAAGCAGGAGCAGCAGAGATAATCCCAATGTGCAAACCCCAAATTTTTATAAACAAGCAAACACTCCCAAAAAACCCAAGCAGAAAGGACAGAGAAGAAATTATTATAAAGTCCTCCCAAAATTCAGAATACTCAAGATAATTAAACGTAGTTTGACAAACTGCCAGAGAACAATGCACATGCACTTTTCTGGCCTTTCCAGGTTTACTACTATCTCTTCTATCAGGCATGCAGGTAAATACACGCTATCTTCAGCTGCACAGAAATGAATGTTCAGTATATTCATTCACTGGCTTATTAATGAGCACATCAAAGAATAGGTACAAAGCCACCTACCATTGTCACTGTCTCCTTCAGATGGAACACTGTAGCTAGAGTTGTCCCATGTTTGTGCCTGTGTAAGTTTGTTGAAGGAGATAGGAGGAAGAGTGAGGGCTGGGTCTGCAGGAGAGCGAGAGAGCCAGTCCGCGTACAGTTGCACAAGGACCAGGGAAAACCAAAGGGGCAGCAGCATTTCACAAACGGCATAAGGATTGTATGGAAATGAAGCGAATTTCATATTATGGGATTTAATTTCAAATGTACAATATAGGAGAATGAAAGATGGCGCATGGAATAAAAAGAATAATAAAAAACTGAGTGTTAGTACTTATCAATCACATATTCTGCATGCAGTTAATATCGTTAATCTTAACAGTTCCACAAGCCCACAGACTTAGAGTACTAATGCATCATGTCAGCAGAAAGAAAGAGTACCCACAGATTATGCAGATAAAAAGCAAAAGACCTACCAGATCCCTTTTCCAAAGACCTTCTAAATAACTAACAATCTTAGCAAAGATGATTCGCACAAAAAATTTCGTTACACATACAAAGCTTATTATATGTAAATACATCTATTATTTAGAAATAAAACTATTGTAGAATCAGTGTTTACCGCTGGTGAATTTTTTTCCCAAAGCAATGTAAAATTTCTCTTTAAAGACATCTGTAAGTCTGCTGGCATGCTTTACTGATAGCTGAATCTTGCCAACTCTGCTCAACCCTTGACACACAGGTACACCTCTCAATACTGTCTTTGATATTGGTCAGTATAAAACCAATTTTAGACAGTGGTAGAGTCTCTTTAACAACAAATCAATTAACTAATAGATGTCAACCAATTTCAAAGCACTTCTAAGGTGGTTATTTATGAAATGATAACATCTCTCTCTTTTGGCACTAACTATATACATACAGTAATTTTTGATGTTTAGGAAATACCTATAAAATTTTTATTCAGTCATAAGGCAGTGCCAGTAAAATACACAGACATGGTTCTAGGAACAAATATTTGGGTATATAAAGTTGTCTTTCTTTGGAGGGAAACACAGTAAAAAAAATACTTCTCTCGAAAAAAACTATCAGCCTGCTTTAACACAGAGATCACAGAAATCCATATACTTAACTTTAATATAAAAATTAAATCACCTTTTAAAGTTCCAAAGCTATGCAATCAAAAATAATTTCTCTGGTTTTTAGTCATATGATCTTCAATTAAGATTACTGTATATATTATTTTCTAGAAAAATGTGAAAAATACATACTGTAATATTTTTAAATTACCAAATAAAAATTTTTAAATTCCCAATACATGATACTAGTTTTATAAAGTTCCAATATGCCACTTGATAATCCTGAAAAAAATCAGCATTATTTACAGTAACCAAACCCTACAAAGCTTTCAACAACTAGAACAATTTCTGCAGTGGTTAGTCAGCATTATAGAAAGGTTGGAAGCTAGGAGAGGAAGTTATCTTTGTTTCCTACTATTCAAAATTAATACTTCATTTATTTTTCACCACTACAAAGAATTTGAAATGGCTCAGCAGTGCAGGCACAAGGCTGATAAACTGAGTTTGGACCCCATAAAAAGAATTTTAAAAGTCACAGAGACAATTTTATAACCAAATTGCAAAGATGCACATTCAAAAGAACATTATTCTTTGGAGATCCATTCAACTTGCTATTTGCTCCATTATAAGATATTTTTAAGTTGTGTAAAATTGCCTGTAAGGGACAGGAGAAAACTGTAGCCCAATATGAGGTCCTCAGTGTGTAGACAACTCTCCCAGAAGATCATCACTCAAGGCACAAATGCCTCCACTCCTCCCAGCACACACCGGAGACTCTGGACGTGGAAGCCCAGCCCAGATCTGCCTGCATACACTCAGCTACATAAACGGAGAGGCCAGCCATTTGAGCCCAATTTCACACACAATTTGGCTCTCCAGAAAACGCCTCCAAACCCTTCCCACACAAGCATCTTATCAAATGGCTTTGTCTTATAGCCCATTCAAAATGCTGGGAAACCATTACACCTGGCTGCATGTTACCCATCAATCAACTTCTCCAAAAATGAAAAAAAAAAAAACCACCTTTATAAAGAATCACCTGTTGTTTTTTCCTGTGGGTACACTTTTTCAAAATACATACATGTACAACTTCAACTGTTGCCAAAATGCTTTACTGAAAAATCCAAGGACATCTGAGTTCTTTGCTACCTTTTGCTTAAAGCATCTGAATCCTTTCTCAGCACTTAGTTAAAAGCATTAGAAGTAAGTGTATGCAAAAGGACCTAAGAATCAACAATATTAAAACATGGACGCACCTAAAAGAAGGCAGACAGTGCTAGAACTTTAAGTACGTGGAGAAATTAGAAGAATGAAATTTTTCTATACAAAGTCCTTCTTTTCAAAATCTGTAGTTATTCTGCACATTGCTATAATTTACATTTGTGAATATGCTAACCATAAGTTGGAAGAGAGTAGGTAATATAAGCAGAAATACTCTTAAAAAAATGACTCCTGACCACTCATGTGAGCCTTGAAATGATCCCCCTGTTCTATGAGTAAATACACAGACCCTACTAAGGCCCAGAAAGCAAAAGAGGGATGTCTCAGAAAAGAGCGACCAGGTTTAACTCAGCAACATAGCAGGAACC